AATGTGGTCACCGATTCTGGACATACCAACAAAAGAGATTCGTGCTTGCTTAACAAACTGCTGAAGTTCCTTGGCATAAAAAAAGAGGAGGCAGAGTAGATGATAATGGTGATGTTGACATTGATGGTGGTGATGGAAACCCCACTTTGCCTGGGAGCCCACGATGGAAGGAAGGAAGGAAGAAAGGAAGAAAAATGAGATGCACTACGAAAAGTTGAAAGGGAGAGGAACTTACCTGGATTGCATAAGCTTGAACCACCTGTACTTGGCCCAGCTATCATTCCCGGGGCTCGGGGCACCCTGTGCGCCGAGTTCGTACGAACCGGCAGCATGACTTTTCATTTCGTTTTTGGCTGGCACTTCCAGCCATTGTGGTCCAGTACGCCGAGGCCCTAAGGCGCAGGGGAAGTGCCGCCGCCGATGTATGGGCCAAGCACTGATGGTTTAAGCATATATTTCGATGTCGATAATTTCTGTCTTTGCAAGTATTTGTTGATTCTTCCTGTCTAGGAAGGGAGGCTAAGTGTGGATCTTGAACGAAATACATAATCATGGGCACGGGGATAAGTTCAAAAATTGGGAAAGAAGCTTAGCACTCGACGACTTTCCAGAAAGGGTGACAAGCCACTTCAGGGAGCAGATGAGGGTGGATGAGGCTTTCTAGACCATTATGAGGATCGATCAAATGAGACAGCGACCAAGAGAGGCTCTTGACGAGGCAGATGGAGGAGTTTTTGCGGATTCCAAGTACTTGTGTGGCCGATAAGCAAGCCCTGAAGCACTATGCACGGACCCTTATAGATTCAGTTAGGATGCAGATGACTGGAAAAGTAGCGGACCCCAAACATACCTTCCATTATTTTGCACAAAAGACTTCAGAGATTGATGACATCACTAGGCAGTACACAACTGCTCAAGCTCACCATTTGCTTGTCTACACCGACGGCACCAAAGGCAAAGATTCCTACGGACGAGGCGTTGTCAGATAAGGAGGAAGGTTACAACGGTAGGGCGCAGATTGTTAGGAAGGGAGGGTCACCACTGTTGCGCGTGGGGAGGCCATAGAAGAGGAATAGTACCTGGGGGAGGCCAAGGAGATACCTCCTGCACCCAGGGTTAGAAGAAGGAGAGTCCTAGAGAGGAATGAGTGTGGCTGAAGGTTATTGGAGACAGTGAAGAGACAACTGGTGTTTCAATTTCTGGAAGACTATATCATCCCCTATTGCCCTAAGCAGAAGGAAGGAAGGAAGGAAAAAAGAAGAGCTGGTAGAAGTTTCAGCCACTTCTACTGTTGCAGTGAAATAAAGATTGGGGCACAACCTTCAAGAAGTTGAAGAAAGCTTTAATTGAGTAACCGATCCTTAGGAGTGTGGATCCGCCTTTGCCATTTATTCCCACTTCGGATGGTGACGAGTATGCCTGTACTCCATCAAAACAACGGTGCACTCCATAATTCCTTGCATCATACGAGTGGCTGTCTTGCCATGCCTCCGCAACGTCCATATAATCAAATCTGAAATAACTATTTGTTTTTCATTTTGTTAGTTCTTGTTTCGTTAACGGGCCCTGACCGTCTCATGGGCCGCATCACCAGCAGAGGGGCAAGTACAAAGCACTTTTACGTCGTCTCGTTGCTAATAATAAATATGCGGTCATTGTAACACTATACACAACATGCACGTCTTTGGTAATCTAGGTGCTCGTCTCTTTCTCTGGTTTTCAAAAGATTCGATAACATGCATGCACAAATTTTGCAGTCATTTGGTAAAATCTGAAATCACTCTTGTTTTTTTATCGAGAGCTTATTACATGACACGAAGTGTCACCCATCTACTTCTTCGAACACAATGTCCTGAGTAGCTATGACGGTAACTGCATCGGCGAGCACATGAGTTTCAACTTTCCACCTATTTTCCCGGACGGCCCGGTCGTGCAAGGAACAGGGAAGGTCCTAGAAAAAAAAAAAAAACAAAAAAAAAAACGATAAAAACTATAACCAGGGAAGGTCCTAGAGAAAAAAAAAAAAAAAAAACCGATAATAAACTATGTTATGCAGAAAAATAAACTGAACAACTTTTGCCTCACGGTCACATCGAAATTCTTTCGTATAACTTCGTATAATGTATGCTATACGAAGTATTACGCACGACCTCACTCCTCCTGCGCCCGTCCCACAGGTTCTCGTGGGTACGAATTGACACGTGGATTCTCATGGGTGCGAATCGACAAGCGGATTCTCGTGGGCACGCCCTTTTTTCCATGGCTTGCGCCATTTGGCCTCGGCGCACGCGACGGCTGGCCCCGACCACGATCTCGCCATTCGGCACGCGACCTCTCTCCTCCGATTAAGGTAAGAAATAAATAAATAAACTTCCCATGTGTGTCTGTGCGTGTGTGCGTGTGTGTTGTCATATTCACTATTAAAACGGTATTCACCAGTTTGAAGTAGCTGATGTAGGACCCAGGGTTCGATCCCTAGTTCCCCAACTTACCTGTGTACAATATCTGTGACAACTTGAAGAATTGAACCTGCGACCTGTAGAACCGCCAGTGGTAAGTAGGTCTGTCGTAGGTCTTTAGGTAGCCAGGATTTGATCCATAGACCTGTAGAGTAGAAGTCCAGCTGCAGTCCTTCTAGAAGGTTGTCAAGTGGTCAAGTGGTGTGACTAAAGCAAGCCCATGTTGGAGACGAGGACAAGTGGCAAGGGCAAATAGTAGGACCCCAGTGCAACTGCACTGCGCCATAGGGTTGTCACTATGCAGTCATAGGAAAGTCTAGAAAGTACCAGTCCGGTCCAGCAAGTACCACGGGGGGGGACTGTGTGCATCATGGGCCAGGGATACAAGGCAGACCAATGCAACACAGAAGTATAAATCAAGAGGCTGCGTCCAACCATTCAATCATTCCTGCGGAAGCTCTGCGGAAGCGCTGCTCGGGCGTCTTGTGCAAGGGAGGTCTGCAGATGGCCTGAAGACGAAGTGGGCAGAAGTTAGTGATAGGCTAGTTAGCTGTTAGTGGCCATGCGCCATAGCCATAGACAGTTAGTGAGTGTGTATGTNAAAAAATGAAGCTTTTTTTTTTTTTTTTTTTTTTTTTTTGTTGGCCTAGCCGGGCAAGTGGCCCCGGGCCACTCTGGTAGCCTAGCTTTCAACACAAAGCCAAGCCCTTGCAAATGAGCAAAACGAAGTGCTCAATTTTCAATGTTAACGACGATTCGTTACCTTGCGACAAATGTCACACCGTGCAACACCACACTTGTTTCAACTCTGCAGCGACAAATGTCACACCGTGCAACACCACACTTGTTTCAACTCTGCAGCTTTCCGCTGTGGCGGATGATGCGCACGGCACCAACAGGCTAAGTGGTGGTGCTCCACAATACAATATTGGATTTCGAACGTTTCATGACTGGCGTGTAATTTGATTTTATGTTTAGAATCTTAGATAGTTGATTTTCTTGTTGATTGGCCGCAAATTCCCACAATGAACCTTTCACTTTTGTCATCATCCATTCCAAGGAACTTATCCAATACGATACATACATTCCCTGGGCCTTGTCCTTTAGGATATCTGAAAAAACTGGAAGAATACAGAGAAGATCAGCATGACCCCTGAGCAAGGATGACACACATAAATCGACAAATTCGCAGCCAGGAGGCTGCGCTATACCCAATTGCGTTTTTGGTGCGCACCGAGTTTCTTCCCGATCGGGTAATGTCGACAACTCTTTCAGGGGTTTAGATAGGCACAAAGGGGGCAGGAAAATGGAGTGGAAGGGTGCGGTTGTTGTCAGAAGACGGACCGGTCGTTCGGGTGGTCCTAGCAGAGGCAAAAAGGGAACGACCAGCGGTAGTCTGCAGAGGTTGTGCGGCGATGTTCGTGGCCGGCGCCCGGCATTTCTCCTTTGGGAAATCCGAAATGTCCGAAATGAAGAAGAAAAGAAAAACGGGGGTCTGGGAGGGTTGGCCGTTTTCCCGTTTTTCTTTTTCTTTTTTTTCCTCTTTTTGGGTGGACGTCACTGGGCGGGGGTGAGGTTGTCATTGGCGATGGGGTTGGCATTCAGTTGTGCAGGGGTTGGTGGACTGTGTGGCGACGGTTTGGAGCAAGTGCAGAGGCAGGCGCGTTGCATCCGTTCTGTCTGGGTTGAGTTGATGATGGTGTATCGTTGAGTGTGAGCGGGACATGGGGGGCCAGTCATTGGAGTCGAGGCGGTTGAGAAGGAGGGACAACAAAGAGCACAACAAAGAACGGGACGTTCTCTTTCTAGGTAGAAAAAAATAGAAGAAAAGAGGAACAAAGAGATGGGCATTGGAGTCGGGCGCGTGAGGGCAGCTGTGGGGTTGGAGACTTACCTGTTGGCCGGTGCGTTGCTGGAATCATTTTTTTCTGTTTCGTGTGTGCACGATGAGTTATCTATTTCTTGTGCTCATTGTGAGGCCATACTCACACTCGAAATTTCTGAAACGTTTCTGACAGTAATTGCCAGCAGATTCAGTTGAGACAGTTCTGATGTGAGTGTGCCCTGAGAACACAATCTGTATACAAGTGCGTACATTCTCAATACCCGCATTTCACCCTTTCCGCGACATGGTCCTCCATACCTCCGGACTGCACCTCCGCGCCGTGCGCGCGGTACACAGTGGTCAAAGTTATTAGAAAAGACGATGCTACAGGCCTTTCAACTCCACCCCGACATAGAGTAGCGCTGGGTGCGAGGTTAGCTACAGTAGTTAGAAGCAGCCGTCGGTTAGGTCCCTGCAGGGCGGCAGCTATTGGAGGTAAGCGACATACAGTGTGACACGTGTCTGTGCACACACGCCCCCCCC